TGGGGGGTGATTTCTTGCTTTCTGTCTCTCTGTCTCTCTCTGTCTGTCTGGCGAGCACATGCACCCTATAGCGAAAACCTCTCCAAAAAAAAAGAAAAAAATATATATATTTACATACACACACAGAGACATTGGTAACTAGCAGTAAATAAATGCAGCTCATTGAGGGCTACTAGCTCGCCAAGCTCAGAGGAAAACACCTAGAGAAATCCCCTCTCCATGCCCACCACTTTCAGGGCCTCACCCAGTCTTCACCTGCATCTCTGCGGCAGTCCCTGCCATGCACCCACTTTACAGAGGAGGAGACCGAGGCTCTGGAAGGCTGTGTGGCCTGCCTGGATTGGCCTGCCAGCACGCCACACAGCCGAAGTCCCCCTAGATGTCTCCGCCCTCACAGACAGCTTGGAACCAGGACGCGCCCTGGTGGGCACAGAGGCCCCTGTGCAGACCCGCCGGCCTCTGGGTCAGGGGGCCTGGGCTGACCCCAACCTATGTGTGTGGCAGGCTCTTCCTGGGGAACAGCAAGCTGGAACACAGCGAGGACGAGAACAGCATCTTGGGCCAGGGTGGCAGCGGCACCGTCATCTACCGGGCCCGGTACCAGGGCCAGCCCGTGGCCGTGAAGCGATTCCAAATCAAGAAATTCAAGAACTTTGCGAATGCCCCGGCAGGTGAGCGGGGTCTTAGCCCAGCACCGTTTTGTCCAGACATGTCCTTCCTTGGTCCAAGCTTAGGGCTAACTTGGGGAGGCCACACCCACACAGGGACACGGGACAGAGCGGAGGGGTTAGGCGAGGGCTGTGAGGCTCCTCCGACAGCCTGCTCTGTGCCCAGTAGCTTAGGGCCAGGCTTGAGGTCAGGCCAAGCAAGACCCAGAAGTTGCTTTTTTTCTTTCAAGTTTCTTTTTATTTTTTAATTTTCAGATTAATTTCACATTTTCCATGAAGTGCTTATCATGACGGACACAATGTATTTTTTTAAGATTTTTGCCATAGGGCACAGGTGCTCATCAGAGAGACAGAGACAGAGAAAAAGAAAGTGAGAAATCACCCCTCTAGGGGAGATGGCCACACCGCAATCCTTTCTCCTCCATTGTCTTCTCAGGATTTGGGGTGTGCATACACATGTGCCCAGCGTGGTTTTCAAGCTGTTAGGTATGGGATTTGAACCATGGTCAGCCATGTGAGAGTCCAGTGCATTAACCACCACACCATCTGCTGGCCCCTATAAGTGCTCAGGGAGCGGTCGCATCTCCACCCCTGGTGCCATGCGTGCTCCGTGTGGAGACGGCTGCCTCTCTGGTCCTCCCAGTCCCCATGAAGCAGCTCTGAGTGCGGCAGGACTCCCGACCCCACGTGGCCTTTGGGAGTCCGCCCCACCAGGCCAGGCGGGGAAGCACCTGCCCCAACCTCCTTCCCGGGAGGCTGACCCGGCTCTTTCTGCAGACACCATGCTGAGACACCTGCGGGCCACAGACGCCATGAAGAACTTCTCGGAGTTCCGGCAGGAGGCCAGCATGCTGCACGCGCTCCAGCACCCGTGCATTGTGTCGCTCATCGGCATCAGCATCCACCCGCTCTGCTTCGCCCTGGAGCTTGCCCCGCTGAGCAGCCTCAACACCGTGCTGTCTGAGAACGCCAAAGGTACCCGCCGTGGAGGACAGCCCCGCCCCTGTCAGGGGAGCCGGGAGGCTCTTCCTGCCCTGCCTGGGTACCCCCTGAGCCCTAGACGGTGTAGGCCAGCCGGGGCCTGCATACTCAGCCCCATGCCCACGTGGCCAGCTCCCTGAGCACGTAGCGAGGCGCAAGTCAAGTCCTGCACTCTATGGGTGTCGGGAGGCTGGGGGAGCTCACGCCGGGGAGGCAGAACCGAGTTCCGAGTTCCAAGTCCTGAGTCTCTGCCACAGTCCAAGACTTGCTTAACTTACTCTCATCTGGGACCAGCAGATGGTGTAATGGTTATATTGCTGGACTTCCACGTAGTTGATCGCAGTTCAAGTCCCAGGCCCGGTGGCTTAAAAACACTTGGGTGCGTGTGTGTGCGTGCCTAAAATCGTGAGAGGAGAATGGAAGAGAAGGAACTGTAGCGTGATCATCGCCCTGTGGGGTGATTTCTCACTTTCTGTCTCTCTGTCTCTGTCTCTCTGGTGAGTGCACGCACACTATGGCAAAAATCTCTCTTAAAAAAAAATAAAAACTGGGAACCAGCAGTTAGCGTAATGGCTATGTCGCTGGACTCCCACGTAGTGGACCACGGTTCGCGTCCC